GTGAAAGTTTAAAATCCATTAAAAAATTCCAAAATTATTACTTCTTTTAAAGCAGAAGATGGCCCAGGTTTTCTTCCCACTGGCGCTCTTTGAGAGTCTCCAACAAGAGAAGTACCAGTACCGGTATCAGGCAAATGTTCGGTTTTACTTCCTTTGACATCCACTTCTATTTTGCTCGAAGGCATTTTATTTTTTGCCTTTTCTGAAAAAAAAATTTGTCATCTTTTATCAATTAGTGTCCTCTGTAAAAGGATTTCTTGGATAAATGAATAAGCTGTAATCTACAGTCCAGTTCTCCAGCTATGCGTCTGGCAATCTCCAGTTGCCTTGTTCTGGCGCTAAATTCGATTCCTGAAAGGATCTTCAATTCCAAGAGATTCCAAGAGATCAATCTTCAAAAGATCAACACCTTGACTGCTCCAAAATTTCCTGTTTTATGATGAGCATCACTTTTTTACTTTCTATAATAGGCAGTTGACTTGCTGGTTGTGTTCATCCTTTCCATCTTCAAACTAACATGCCGCATAAGCCACGCCTCGTCGGCATCTCACTTTCTTCAATATTCAGAAAAAAGCAAAAAAAGAAAATAATGATAACTGAAAATAATGATAAAAATGATGAAAATTGATCATTATTTAATGATAATCAAATAAGGATTTTACAAATTAGTAAAAGATTCATTTTTCCTAAACCGAAGCTTGCCTTTCTTGCTCTGACTAGGTTTTGAGCCAAGCAACATGAGCCTCAATTCGCGTTCCTCCTCATCCTGATCTCGGTATTTTTTCTTGATTTTTTCCGCTTTATGTCTCTGTCGTAGTGTCATCGGACGTACTTTTCCACCACCACCACCATCTTTCGTTTCCTCGTCTTTTTTCATCTGCTCCGCGCTCCTTGTATCATCATCTGCTGATTTTACTGTAGGCCTTTGAGGCGCCGAGGGGCCTACTTGAATGATCGTATAGTCTTCGTCTGTACCAGTGCCTTTTGCATGCTGCACAATATTACTTAAGCTAACCTGAAAATACAGGAATTTTTAAATTTTTTCAAATTTCAATATTCAACTTTAAATTCCAATCTCAAACTTCAATAAAAATTTCAAATTTCAAACGAACCTGAAATCAAATTTCCAAAAAAGAAATCAAATTCAAAACTAAAAGAAATTTTCAAAAAATGAAAAAAATTTTAGCATAATCCAAAAAGCAGTGTTTTCAGCAGGTTGACCCATGTTGGTGCCCCAGGAATTCTTTTTCAACACGATGGTGTGGAACGGTTACTGCCCCGTGGATCTCAACAGCTGATTCGGTTCTTCAACGCAACGACACTTCCTCCCAACGACGTTTATCAGCCTGGACGGTTATTGGTCGACGCCGTGGTCATTTTTCAATAACATTCTACGAGTATTCTGGGTAAGCTTCTGATTAATTCAACAAAGGTTGTTTCAGCACAGACCACTGGAAACAGCAGCATTGAAAAAAAGCTGTCAATTACGCATTTGCAGAATCGGCTATGTCTTACAGCTGATACAACTACTTTCTCCAAACAGCACCCTAAAGCATCTTGGTTTTTAGCTATTTCATTGTATTTCAACACAATCCTAGCTTCAAAATTTGGTTATGAAATTGAAATTCCGATTAAAATGATTCTTCCTTTTTTAACCTGAATGTCTGGAAAATCATAGTCTCCGTCATCGGAATCCTTCTCGTCGTTTCCCTCACTTTCACTTCCGTGCAAAGAGACATCATCGTCACTTCGGGAGCCCACTGCTCCTGACTCGCCCTCCTCAGTATGCGCAATCGCAACTTTCCGCTCCTCAACATGCCGTTCCAGAGAATCATCATCCAGCTTGAACATAACTCCGAATCCCATTTGCAGTTGACAGAGGGGCAAAAAATTCTTTTTTCCACGTATCATGAAACTTCCAGCGGTCAAATATTCACCAGTTGGTGTTGTTCTTGAAACCTAAAATTTCCGAATAAATATGCCTCTCATCTATTTATCACGGACTGTAATTCATAATTTGGTTCTCATACTATGCAACTGGCAAAATTTTCAGTCACATCGGCTTGTGGTCAATTTACTCAGGGTGATATCGATGCCACATCGATGAGGCGAGGAATGGTAATGAAACAAAACTCCTCTGGGACATGGTCCCCTCTGGGCAAAATGAACGTAGTCCAGGCCACATGGCTAAAATCTTGGCAAGGCCACGTGGCGGTGCTGCCAACCCTAAAACCTCCCCTCCTACGGCCGCTGCAAACCACGCATCCTCCTCGTCTGCTCCAAGCCTAAGGCCTCGTTCAGAGCATGGCTAATGGGTGCTACTGCTAGCACGAATAAGGCAGATGAAAGCGTGTCGCCCTGAAAGGCACAAAATAAAGTGCCTGAAAGGCACGCAAAACAAAAAAAAGATGCGCAAAATAAAGTGCAATACTTCGGACTATGAGAGAAAAAGGACCCAATGGCTGCTGATGAAGTTACCCTAGCTCCTTCTACAGATTCGATATCATTCATCAGAAACCTCTAGAGATTTGATGTTTTAGATGTAAAAATATTTGAAATTACACACTGCTAGATGTGGAAAATAGCAGAAATTTACGCAATTTGAATTTTGAATGGAGCAAAAAAAAAGAAAAAAATTTACCTGATTCTGATAAACCCACCATGCACGATCAGATACTTTTGCTTCCCATGCTGAGGAATAACAAACAGCCATTGTGCCAGCTTCATTCAGTGTTTTTGGTGGTATCTCTCCACCACCCATTTTGTTACGTATAACAACTGATGAGGCACCACGAAGATCCGCATGAACATAAACATCACCTGGCCGAAGATACCTAGCAAAAACAACAGGTAAAAAAATTCGGCGACAAAACTGTTCTAAAAACTGCTAAACTGGTACAATAGCACACCAGAACTTGGAGATGGGGAGGAGTGTTTTTATACCCCGGTGGGCCACAGATCACAAAGACTGCACAACTCTAAAGGAACTAAAGTTTCCAGAGGCTAAACCGGGGGCCAGGCGCGTTGTGTCATAATGATGCAACGGCTCCTTATGCAATTTTTAACAAAAAGCAATTAATCATTATGCGACAGATATAAGTGTGCCACTTACGTATCAACAATGCCTGGTTCTTCACAGCTGTCAGTTTTGGCAGTGTTTCTTCCACATTCTATTCATTACCCATACATACGCGGTTTAAAATGCCATAGCAGATTTAAAAATGCCCACCTTTTCACAAGTAATTCATTTTGCTGAGCATCACGGCCTCCAATTACTAAATAATTCTCGGAGCTGACAAACCAAAGAAATTTTTCAAACCACATCATACGTCGTTTTTTCAGAATATCAGTTTTTGCACGAACCTTAAAAAAATGGGGCGAAATCTCTTTCGGGCAAAAAAAAAAGGTCTGAAATTAATCGACCGAAACATTTCTTACCTACTACAAATATTCCCTTAATCCTCTTCCCCCATCTTACTTCGCTTTTTCTTTGTTTTCTTCCCTTCTTTATCTTTTCTACTTCATTATTTTCTCTTCAACCTTTGATAGCATTACGTAACATAATCTAACACTGCATACTGATCTTCACAACTCCGGTCCTATGTGATAATAATTTTTTCCTTCAGATTTTAAAATTTTTTCAGATTTTTCTTCAGAAAATTTTCTTCAAATTCTTTAAAACCACAAATCCTACCGCTTCTACGGTTTCTTTTGTTTTCAGTTGTGCCGTTTTCAGCACTTTTGTTGAAGCAGACACAGTTTTACGCTGCTTCTCCATTGCAGCTTTCTTCTCCGTGTAGTATTTTCGCGCATTTTGATAGGCTGATAATCCGATATCAATTGTTACCTGAAAATGGCGCTTTCAATAATAATTATCAATAAAATAGTACTATTCTAGTCGGTCAGATGCCTCATCATTAGCTAGAAGAAGTGACGTTCGCAGCAGCTAGGAGGCGCTGTCTGGTTTTGGGACACACTTAGTGCACCCAGAAACGGTTAAATCCTTGAGCAGGTGCTTCTATTAGGAAAACTGACGAGCAGGTAATCACCGCAGCAGAGAAGATGAACACCAGGTTCGCCAAAAAGTTAAAAATCACGTAATTCAGCATTGATTAAGGCAGCTGCTAAAAGTTGTTAATTG